GGAGCATCTCATAGAAAAAGAACTACAGTGGAAGACTGTAAGTCTCTTGGGAAAATGTAGAGATACTGGGATGGGGCTATATAAAGCGGGGTGCTAGTGGACTTTGCATGTAAGACTGAGGAGCTCAAGCCATCCCATTTGGCTTTTAAGGGAAAAGGAGGTCCATAATTCTAGAGGGTTGGGGCTGTCTGGGCTGACATTATGATATATAAAGCTATTTGTGACACAGAGCTGGGCTCTTCCAAATTTGACTATCTACTCTTCTATTTATCCTGGATATTTCTTTTTTTGGCTAAGAACCAACATTTTCTTAAACCTCTTCATCTCTATCACCAGCATTTCTTTGGGGCCATTTTTACAGAAAGAGTAAAATGAAAAATATGAACTTACAAATGTATCCCAGGAATTTAGTGGTTAACCATTCAGCCTGTACTTAAATTAAGACTGAAGCAAGTTGATTTGATATGGTCTCAAATTTTGTTCCTCTTATTTAGGTTATAAAGAATTAGGGACAAGAGAGCATTATGATCAAGTTCAAGCAGAAACTTACCACACTTCTTGGCTTCTACATACTTAAGAAAGATATATCCCTGGTTTTCTTCTGTAAAATAGATTCCAATAAGCATAAGATGAGAAGAAACAGAAGAAGGAGTCCAAAGAAACACATGTGGATGTAATGTGGTATTAGCCCTGGGTGGCACTGAAAATCCAAAGGGACTTAAAATGCAGGTCCTAAATGCACATTCATTCATTTAGAAGCAACAGGATAGTTCCCTGTGCAAATCGAGTCTGGGTAGTATTTTTTTTTTTTAATACCTGGAGCTCCCTAGATTGAAAAGGAGACAGCCTCAAGAGCAGATACCAATGTGTTCACATTGGAACTTGTCCAGTAAGACTTCTGCATTCCATTTTCTACCAATGAATATCTCCGTCTACCTTGACTGCCTGTCATTCACCGAAGTCAGCAAGCACTGAGTCCCTCAGAGTGTGTCGGAAGAAATCAGCAAGGTCACTATCATTCAAGGAGCTTTGGTGACGCAGTGGTTAAAGTGCTCAGCTGCCAACCAAAAGCTCAGCAGTTCAAACTCACCAGCAGCTCCATGGGAGAAAGATGTGGCAGTCTGCTTCAGTAAAGATTACAGCCTTGGAAACCCTATGGGGCAGTTCTACTCTGTCCTACAGGGTCGCTATGAGTCGGAATCGACTCAATGGCAAGGGACTGTCACTCAGAATGATGCCAGCATAGTTTTAATAATTTAACATTCATTATTTTGAGGCAGATAATTTTGGTTGAGAGGAAATACATGGTACCTAACAGCATGAGCTCTGAAGTCAGATTGCCAGGTTTGAATCCTGGCTCCACCACTTGGTACCTGTGTGACTTTGTGCCAAGTTACTTCATCCCTTTGTACCTTCAGTTTACGCATCTGTAAACTGGGATAATATTTCCTATCAAAGGGTGTGGTAAGGATTAAATGATTTAATATATTGAAAGTGCTTGTAACAAAGAAGGTATATATTAAATACTCAATAAACATTAGCTCTTATCCTCACCCCTACCATCTTCTCCACATTTTTTTTAAACTTGTAGAGTCTGACATTTATATAGCTGACTACACTCTTGCACACACGCAAGTACTTCTCTCAGGCAATCAAGGTCACCCCACTTCCCTGACTAGTGACTGCTTTAGGAATGGACATGTGGTACATTTCTGGCTGAGGGGATACAAGCCTCTGGTGGTGGGGAGCTTCTAGGAAAGGTTTCTTCCCAAAAGAAGTGGATTGGAAGAAAAGGTCTCTTTTCTTCTAATGATGCTGTTTCTGCATGTACACCTGTCTGCAACAGCAGAGCCATCTTGGCACTGTGAAGGAAGCTGGAAGAAAGATGGAAACACTGATGACATTGTTGGAGCTTGGGGGTTTCATTTAGAACCCAGATAGGCAAAACATCTAGTAAACATCCCAAATTATCCAGTCTTCTCATACGGATAATATGGGGTAAGGTACCTTTCTGGACCCCAGCCCTGGTTGGAGAAGACTTTTGTTCTCCAGTTTGGGTAATAAGATACGTATAACATGCCTCAAGGGCACTGTTATATACCAGTTGGTAGATAAAACATAGTAGATGGGCTTTAAAAATTAATTTGATCACTAAAATGAAAACTTAGAATCGCCAAGATCTCTTGTGCTATAAATTTAGATTGTATGACTTTTGTAAATTGTAACCACAAACAAAAGGTCTGCTTTTTAAAATTATTCTTTTAAAAATCTTTAATTTCAAAAGAATTATGTGCTTATCTATTTTTAAAAAGTTGAAAGTAAACTGCAAAAGTATGCTCTGTACTCCCCAGTCCAACTCCCTTAGAGACAAGCTTTGTAAACAGTTCTATTTACAGTCATGTGCCACATAACGTCCGTTTGGGCAACGTCTGACCACATATACATCCATGGTCCCATAAGGTTATAACAGAGTTCAGAAATCCTGATCAGAGACTGGGACACAGTGGACATAACCAGATGTAGTGAATGCAACAGTTTCCTGTATGCAACACATGTATCTCATGTCTCCTGTATTCAAAGCTATAGCACTGCCAGGCATATATATATATGGTACAGTACATGTATAACCTATAACACGTATGTCTTGATAGTCATAATAAACACCTGTTACTAGCTTATGTATGTACTGTACTGTACTTTCTATCATTATTTTAATGTGAACTTTCCCTACTTACAAATGAAAAGTTTACCATATAACAGTGTATGCTTCAACGCTAGCAGCATCCAATCTCGTGTATCTCACGTCTCTTGAGTGTTGTAGTGTTATCTGTTTTTCTTTCGAAAATATTACCATGAAGTGCATCATGGCTCCCAAATGCAGCAAAACCAGTGCTAGTGATAGCAGCAGCAAGAGGCAAAGGAGAAGTATCGATTTGGAAGTGAAACAAAAGGTATCCCATATAGCTTTGCCACGTATATAATATGGCATTTGCACAATGTCCAAATCACATAATGTCCTATTTCACAGAATGTATCGTGGACATTAAGTGACACATGACTGTATAGTATTCCAGACCTGTTACTAAACGATCCCCCGCCAACTCCACACATATACTTACAGATACACATTTTCATAGCTACAAATACAAAGGTATACATAACATATATTATATATATATATATATGTATGTATGTGGCTGTAAGTATTACACATGCATTCAAAGATAAGTAATTTTTATTTCTTTAACAAAATCAGGATTTGCATTAAACACTGTCCAGAAATTTGCATGTTTTCACTCACTCATATATACAATTCCCCATGTTAGTACATATATTTCTAAATGACCCATATTCTAAATATTTTATTAAATAATAAAGCCAAATATGCCACCTCATCTAGCCTATTTAAGAATTAGAAAAGTAGAGCAGTCTAAGAAAATTATAATGGAAGTATAAATTCTTGCCAGTTGACAAACGTTACAACATGTAGGGTCATTCTATCTTGAATATTTCCATTGCCCTCTCAAACAAAGAGAAATAAAATGATTTAATATGTCTTTACACTTTTATTAACAGGCAAAAATTTCCAGGTGCTTTCTTTTTAGATATTTAAAAATTATCTATCTGAATAAATAGAACGTGCACATACTACCAATTTCAAAAGTAGCCAAATATATGTAGTTGAAAGTTTAAGTCTTCTTATGTACAACCAAACACCTTCTAGGACGAAAATATTAGGCCTGAGGGCTAAGGACCAGAGACTTGGGGGATATCTATGCAAACCGGCATAACATAGTGCATAAAAACAATGTTCTATATTCTACTATAGTGAGTAGGATTTGGGGTCTTAAAAGCTTGTGAGCAGCCATCTAAGATATAACTATTGGTCTCTTCCCATCCAGAGTAAAGGAGAGTGAAGAAAACCAAAGATTCAAGGGAGCAATTAGTACAAAGGACTAACAGACCACATGCACCACAGCCTACATGACCCCAAGACCAGAAGAACTAGATGGTGCCCAGCTACTACCACTGACCACTCTGACCAAGACCACAATACAGGGTCCCAAACACAGCAGGAAAAAATGTAGAACAAAAAAACAAATTCATAAAAAAAGACCAGACTTACTGGCCTGATAGAGACTGTTGGCACCCCGAGACTACGGCCCTAAGACACCCCTCTGGCTTGGAACTATAACCATTTCCAGAAACCAACTTCCAGCCAAGCAATAGACAGGCCTATAAAATAAAAAATAACACCCAAAAAGAACGTGCTTCATAGAAAAATCAATTATATGAAACCAAAAGGGCAACAACTGCCCAAAAATAAAGATGAGAAGACAAGAAGGGGTAGGAAAATCAGGTGAAAGGAAGTGGGGAACCCAGGGTGAAAATGGGGAGAAGGTGAACACAGTCTGGGGACTGCAACCAATGTCATGGAACACTTTGTGTACAATTTGTTGAATGAGAAACTAATTTGCTATGTAAATTTGCCCCTAAAACACAATAAAATATTAAATTAAAAAAAAAAAAAAGGAATAAAGCTACCATCAACAACAAAATAAGTCTTCCTTTCACCACAGCTCCCCAGACCCATAATTTCTCTCCCCAGAGGCAATTATTAACCAGTTTCTTATATATTCTAAAGGTATTTAAGATTCTATATATTTGAAATAAAATATCAAAAATGCCATACCATAACCCCAAGCCCCCCAAAATTCTAGCATTTTCTACAGTAATTTTTATTACAATTTTTACTTCTTTACCCAAATCAGAGAGAAGGAACAGAATCAGACACAGTCAAAAAAAGGCTTATTTGGGAGCCTGGGGTGTTGGATAAGTAGAGAATAATTTGTTTATCAAAGAATTCAGAGAAACCCTCGGGAAACTGATAAAACTCCTGAATATATCTCTTTCTTAAAAAAAAAAAAAAAAATCCCTCTTTATAACAATGTAGCAAAAAGCAAAGATGAAGTATATCCTATTTAAAATAAACAGCCCCCAAATCAACACTATATTCATTCTTCGTTCTAAGACTTAAGACATTTAAAATTCTATATGAACTAAATTTTATGAAACTTAAACCTGTTTCATCATTTTACATTTTGATTTCAAGACACATTTTGAAATAAATTGGGAGAAGGTATTGGGACTTTAAATTTTTGTTTTAAGTAGATTCACCTTATCTGGGCCTTTTATTTGTATCTTCGCTTCCATTAAGAAATAACTGCTACTTATACAAAGGCAGAGATGTTGACTGAAAGGTTAGTTTTAAGTGTATGTTAGTAAAAAGAAAGCCGGAGAGTCAATTGGTCTAGTTCAAAAATGCTTTTATTTCAATGGCAAAAAAGTATTAATCTTACTACAATAGGTTGAAGAGTTATATTTTTCTTGCAATAGTAAAAATCTTAAGTGGCAACCGATGAAGTGTGTGTTAAAACAGGCACACGAGACCACACAAGACAAAATATGAAATGTTAGTAATATGAAAAAATACCTAATATATAACTAAGAAAACAGGGCTTTAGAACATTAGTTCCTCACACTCTGCATAGAACTTCCAATGCTGATCCATTATATGGCATGGGAGAAATTCTTGATCGCTGATTAATAGTATTTCGTTTATTTGTAGATAATGTGGGTTACTCTGCACTGGCTCTCTGCAAGTTCCTGTTTAAAGAAGTGTCACCAAATTAAAAACTGACTTTTAAATGGAAGATTTTAATTATTACAAATCATAAACCCCAGTCAAGTCTATGTGAGGGTACACATAACAGGTTTACTGACCAAGACAGTCTTCACTCACTCCATTTTCCAGGCCGGAGACAAAGTTATAAACCAGTACTGGCTGATCTTGGGGCTGAGAGGCCTCCTTGCGATCTGAAAAACAAGACAGGTTTGACAAGGGTGCTAAGTCCATTCAATGGGGAAAGAAGAGTCTTTTCAATAAATGGTGCTGGGAAAATGGGATTTCCACATGCAGAAGAATGAGACATGATCCATGTCTCACACTGTCTCAGTCATCTAGTGCTGCTCTAACAGAAATACCACAAGTGGATGGCTTTTAACAAGAGAAATTTATTCTCTCATACTCCAGTAGGCTACAAGTCCAAATTCAGGGTATCAGCTCCAGGAGAAGGCTTTTTCTCTCTGTTGGCTCTGGAGGAAGGTCGGTGTCATCAATCTTCCTTTGCCCTGGGAGCTTCTCTGCGCAGGAACCTCAGGTCCAAAGAACACGCTCTGCTCCCAGCACTGCTTTCTTGGTGGTATAAGGTTCCCATGCGTCTCTGCTCGCTTCTCTCTTTTATATCTCAAAAGAGATCGCATTAAGACACTATCTAATCTTGTCAACCTCATCAGTATAACCTCATCACAGTGATAGAATTTACAACACATAAGAAGATCACATATAACCTCATCATAAGGAAATCACATCAGATTACACAATCATACAATACTGGGAATCATGACCTAGCCAAGTTGCTACACACAGTTTTTGGGGGACACAATTCAATCCATGACACACACCACACACAAAAACTAATTCAAAGTGGATTAAAGACCTAAACGTGAAAACTAAAACCATAAAATTCTTAGAGGAAAACAGGGGCATGGTTGCGGGACCTAGTATTTAACAGTGGATTACAGTAAGATATGACAACAAAAGCACAAGCAGCAAAAGACAAAATAGATAACTGGGACCTCATAAAAATTAATTAAATACTTTTGTTCGTCAAAAGATATTATCAACAAAATTTTGGGGAACCATTTTTCTGATAAGAATCTAATGCCCAAAATATATTAACAACAACAAACTCCTATAATTCAACAGCAAAAAGACAACCCAATCAAAAAATGGGCAAAGGACTTGAACAGTTCACCCAAGAGGATGTTCAAATGGTCAGCACATTGAAAGATGCTCAATGTCACTAGCCATTGTTGTTGTTGGATTCTGACTCATAGTGAACTCAAGTGACAGCACTGAACTGCCCCACAGGGTTTTCTAGGCTATAATCTTTATGGAAACAGTTCACCAGGTCTTTCTTCCACAAAGCTGCTGGGTGGGTTCGAACCACCAACCTTTCAGTTAGCAGCTGAGTGCTTAACTGTTGTGCCACCAGGGCTCCATTAGGGAAATACAAATTAAACCATAATGAGGTATCACCTCATCCCCATAAGAATGACAATGGCCAAAAAAAAAAGGAAAACAAGAGGTGCTGGAGAGGATAGGGAGAAACTGGAACCCTCATCCACTGCTGGTGGGAATGCAAAATGGTACAGCTGCCGTGGAAAACAGTTTGGCTGTTCCTAAAAAGGTTAAACATGGAATTAATATGTTGTTGTTAGGTGCCGTCAAGTCAGTTCCAATTCATAGCGACCCTATGCGCCACACAACGAAACACTGCCCGGTCCAGCGCCATGCTCACAATCGTTGTTATGCTTGAGCCCACCGTTGCAGCCACTGTGTCAATCCATCTCATTGAGGGTCTTTCTCTTTTTCGCTGACCCTGTATTTTACCAAGCATGATGTCCTTCTCCAGGGACTGATCCCTCCTGACAACATGTCCAAAATATGTAAGACGTAATCTCACCATCCTTCCTTCTAAACAGCATTCTGGCTGTACTTCTTCCAAGACAGATTTGTTCATTCTTTTGGCAGTCCATGGTATATTCAGTATTCTTCACCAACACCAAAATTCAAAGGCGTCAATTCTTCCTCAGTCTTCCTTATTCATTGTCCAGCTTTCGCATGCGTATGATGCGATTAAAAAATACCATGGCTTGGGTCAGGCACACCTTAGTCTTCAAGGTGACATCTTTGCTGTTCAATGCTTTAAAAGAGATCTTTTGCAGCAGATTTGCCCAATGCAATATGCCTTTTGGCATGTCTGTCAGTTTCTCGTACTGTGGGGGCTTGTGTGTTGCTGTGATGCTGGAAGCTATGCCACTGGTACTCATATACCAGCATGGTTACCCACAGCGGACAGATTTCAGCTGAGCTTCCAAACTAAGACAGACTAGGAAGAAGGACCTAGCAGTCTACTTCTGAAAAGAATTAGCCAGTGAACACTTTATGAATGGGAACTAATATACGACCCAGTAATTTCAATCCTAGGCAGGAACACAAACAGAAACCTGTACACCAATGTTCACTGCACTTTTCACAATAGCTAAAATGTGGAAATAACCTATATGTCCATCAACAGATGAATGGATACACAAAATGTGGTACATACACACAACTGAATATTACTCAGCCATAAGAGAAATGAGGTCCTGATACATGCCACAACATAGATAAACCTTGAAAACATTATGCTGAACGAAATCAGTCAGTGACAAAAGGACAAACACTGTATGAGCTCACTTACATGAAATAAGCAAATATATAGAAACCAAAGCCTAAGAGAGATCACCAGGTGTGATGGTTAAGATTCTGTGTGTCAACTTTGCTGGGGCATGATTCCCAGTGTTTTGGCAGTCGTGTGATGTTGTGGTCACTTTCCTGCTGAGATTTGATATGTGATCATCCCCATGATGCAATCTGCTGTGAGTAGCTTACTCATTAGAAGGGTAGTTTCCTTGGGCATGTGGCCTGCATCAAATATAAGCCATCATTCTGGCAGGGCTCCAGGGCTTTTGCTCATGCTGGATCTTGCAGCTGGCTCCCGTTCATCTGACCTCTGGTTCTTGTGACTTGAGCTAGCAGCTTACCTGTGGTCTTGCCTGCTGATCTTGGGATTTGTTGATCTTCACAGCCTGGGAGCAACAGCCCTGCTCTCCAACCTACCGATCTTGGGTTCACCAGCCCCTGCAGCTACATCAATCAGGAGAAGCCTCTATTCTGACCCACAGACTTGGGACGTTACAGCCTCTACAATTGCATGAGCCATTTCTTTAATATAAATCTCTCTCTCTCTATATATATATATATTCATATGTTTTACTGGTTTTGCTTCTCTAGAGAACCCAGCCTAAGACACCAGAGGTGAAAGGAAGGAGAAATGGAGGAGTTTTTGCTTGGGGGGCACTGAGTTTACCTTAATGGTGGTAAAATAATTAGGAAAAAGATAGGGATAAGGGTTGTGTAACATAAAGAGTGTAATCAATGTAACTGAATTGTGCATGTAAAACTGTTGAATTGGCAAATGTTTTGTTTTATGTATTTGCACCACAGAACAAATTAATAAAAATGCAGGAAAAGGATGGTCAAAGCTTATGAAGCTTACAAGGTCCTCTGTGCCTCAATTTCCTATAAATTGAGAATAAACAGTTATGAGGATTAAATAAGGCATTGCATGTGAAATGCTTAGCATGCTGCCTGGCATCCAGCAAACACTCAATAAATGTTGGCTGCTTTTAATATTATCACTATTTGTTACTGAAAAGAGTATTAGACTGGAAGACGGATGTTCAAAGTTCTAGTACTGGCTCTGCCACAAACTTGGTGTGTGATCTCAGGCAAGTTACGTGGCTTCTCCAGGCTTCCATCTCTTCCCCTGAGAAGTAAGAGGTTGATGAACATAATGAACCAAAAATTCTTCTTAATCTGTGAAATCTAAAATACAAGTCACCTGCTTCCAAAGTACAATGGTGGAACAGGAACAAACTAGACATTTCCATTACAAACGGGAGAACTGGAGGAAAGGAAGGGGTAACAGGCACCAAGCAAGTCAGCAGAACAAGTTACAAGGCTTGAAAATAATCCACTGTTCTCTGAGACCATTTAGGCAATGGCTCTCCCCTCCAGACTCTGGGTGTTGACCACATTCTCTGGATTATGAGTGGAGGCCCCTCGGTCCTGGGCTTCAGCTCCATCTTCCAGACGCAGTGGGACAGCAACTCTGCTCCCTTGGCTTTAGGCAGCCCCATTCTCCTAGTCCACCTGAGTGGCAACTCCACCCTTTGAGGCCCCAGAGGTTGCGGCTCTGCCCTATGAGACTGAGGCAGCTCTGCTTCCTGTGCTCCTTGTCTCTTCAGCTTCTGCTTCCTGGTTCCTTGGCCTCTTTGCCCCTCAGGCCTCTCTGCCTGAGTCTGCCCAGCTGGGGCAAGCATTCCAAAGTCCTTTAGTTCCACCAGTAAGTGCCTGGAGGCACCCCACTTCACCAGTAAAATTCAGCTGGAAGGCACTCAGGTCTCTCACTCTGTGAGTGGTCTCCAGCGCTGTCTCCTACTTCTGCTGCTGCCCCATTTGTTTGCACTGGTTCTCGACATCTGTGCCATTTCCAGTGTAACAGATCTCCTCACTTCTGAGTCCTCACCAGAATTGTCTTTTACGTCCATAATTCCACCAACAGTCTCTTCAAGGCGATCTAGGCTTTTACTATTAGGCACTTTAAAACTCTTCCAGCTTCTACCCATTCACAGTTTCAAAACCGCTTCTACATTTAAGGTATTTGTTAGAGCAGCACCCTACTCCTGGTACCAAATTCTGTAGTCATCTAGTGCTGCTACAACAGAATTATCATAAGTGGATGGCTTTATTAAACAGGAATCTATTCTCTCACAGTCTATGAGGCTAAAAGTCCAAATTCAGGGTGCCAGCTCCAGGGAAAGGCTTTTTCTCTCTGTCGGCTCTGAGCGAAGGTCCTTGTCATCAATCTTACCCTGGTCTAAGAGCTTCTCAGCGCAGGAACCTTGGTCCAAAGGACGTGCTCTGCTCCAGGCACTGCTTTCTTGGTGATATGAAGTCCCCCTGTCTCTCTGCTCATTTCTCTCTTTTATATCTCAAAAGAGATTGACTTAAGACAAAACCTAATCTTGTAGATTGAGTCCTGCCTCATTAACATAACTGCCTCTAATCCTGCCTCATTAACATCATACAGATAGGAGTTGTAAGACATAGGAAAATCACATCATATTACAAAATGGCGGACAAT